TCGGGTCCACATGCCGTGTGAAGGGATGGGCCACAATCTCAGAAGCTCCCAGCTCCCCAGGTGGCCTCTCCATCGCCCAGAAGCAAAATCCTCGCTTTCCAACATCAAACCCCAAGCCCAAGCCTTCAGATGGGACCAAGGGAGGGAAGAGGAAGCAGCAATTCTTCCCAGCTTCATCCTGCATTTGCCCGCCCTTCCTCCTCCCTGGCCATACCAACCCTACCGTTGTTAAGTGCTGTCGAGTTGATTCCTACTCATAGCGACCCTACTCAGTTCAATTCCACAAACACCAGGTGAGCACCCACTAGGTCCAGGCTCTGAGCTGGGAGATGCTGATGGGAGCCACACAGATGACAGGGATCAGGTCTTTGGCTCTCTGGGCCTCCTGATCTCACAGGCCAACCTAAACTGTAAGCTTCCCCAACAGTGAAGGGATCAGTGATGGGCTTCTCAAGGGAGATGACGTCTAAGTGGGCTTGGCAATTGGGCACGGGCTCCAGCATCAGAAAAGATCCCAGTTTAAATAATAGCTCTGTCCAATCTGCAACTGATCAAGGGGATGGTGCAAGACTGGGCAGCGTTTTGGTCTGTTGCATGTAGGGTCTCCATGAGCCAGGGCTGACTCAACAGCACCTAACAACTGGCCTCACTGGTTGTATCATCTTGTGCAAAGGATGTCACCCCTCTGAGCCTCAGTTTCCTCAACTGTTAAATGAATATGACAATAGCACCAACCTCATGGGGTTGTCAGGACCCTAAATGAGACAATGCATGTAAAGGGGTCACACAAGTCACTCTACGTAGCTGTGATGATGAGGAGGAGGACGAGGAGGAGGAAAAGGGGAGGAAGATGAGATAGTCAACAACGGTGGCCAGTTCCCCTCCACTCTTATCTTTGGATTCTCCTGCTAGCTGGAGTCTGAACCCCATGATTCAGCATTTTATTAGACACCCTTTGACTTGCCTCTGGGTACCATAGAAACCACACAATGAGTCTGACGTTGAAAAGTCCCTACTAATGTGTATATGGTACCAGTACCTGTACCAGATGCCATCAAGTTGATCCCAACTCATGGTGACCCCACAGGGTAGAACTGTGCTCCCTAAGGTTTTCAGTGGACTTAAACTGCCAAACTTGCACTTAGCAGCTGAGTGCATTAACCACTTGCATGACCCAGGGGCTCAATGTGTACAGACTTTACAATTTACAAAGTGCTCTGCCTGACACCATCTCATGGAGGCCTTGCAACAGCTGTGTGAGGTCAGGAAGGAGGAATGCTCAGTGTCTTCACTTTACAGATGAGCAAACTGGAGCTCAGAGCGGGTGAGTGACATCCCTCAGGTCACATAGCTAGAAAGTGGTAGAGCTGGGACAAAACTCAGATCTTCCTCTTTACTTTGCAGCCCCCTTTTACTGCACTCCTGGGAGGGGAGATGGAGAAGTCTATGGCCTGTGGAGAGCAAGCTTTTCCCTCACACCATAGCCCTGGCTGAGAAAACCGTGCCCCCCACCTGTCAGCTGAGATCAAGAGTCCCGACCCCTCCTTCCCAAGGTAATACCAGGCACGCTCAGTTGAACTGAGCCACCAGCGGTCAGTGGCCCTGGCCCTGCCAGAGCACCATGCTCAGCCTGGGCTTGGAGACAGCGAGGGGACTGAGAGGTAGGGGCTTGTACCACCTTGTCCCTGTAAGCTGCACACCTCTAGAGTGCAAACTAGGACAAGAGCATCAGGACAAGGCTGTAGAGGGGCATGTTGGGAGTGGGGAGCATGTGTCCTAGCCAAAACCACAGAGTCTTGGCTTCATCTGGGGCTGACACGCTTGTAGGACTGACCCAACCCCAGAACAGAAGTTGCAAAAGCAGCTTCATTCATTACCTGCAAATACTGATTAGACTGGGTCCTTGCAATGCTCTTTGCCCCCACCCCTTTAAACACAGATGAGAAGTCTTGTGGGCCTCAAATACCAAGGACCAGCACCCACAGTGAGCCATGCCCTATACTATGGGCCTCACCTGAGGCACCCCAGTCCATCCGCCATTAGGGTTGTTATTAGCTGCTGTCACGTTGGCCCCAACTCATGGCAACCCATACATGACAGAACAAAATGCAGTCCGTTATTGCGCCATCCCCATGATCGGTGGCTGATTAGATCATTGTGATCCACAGGGTTTTTACTTGCTGATTTTCAGTAGTAGATTGCCAGGCCTTTCTTCCTAGTCCCTCTTAGTCTGGAAGCTCCACTAAAACCCGTTCAGTATCATAACAACATGCAAGCCTTTACTGACATACAGATGGTGGCTGCACATAAGGTGCATTGACTGGGAATCAAATCTGGGTCTCCTGAATTGGAGGCAAGACTTTTACCACTGATCCCCCACTGCCTCTCCTTCAGGGTAGTTGGTCCTACTTAGAGCCGAGGAAACTGAGGCTTAGGAGGGTTATGACACTCATACAACGTCTCATAGCTAAGCAGTGGTAACTTTTCATCATTCTCTGAGTTGCTGGGAGGGTAAGACCAAACCCTGGGCTTCCAGGCACAAGTTGGCTACATATCTGAGTGTGGAAGGCCCAGCTGCCAGGCTGTACCAGAGGCCGGATATCTGAATATCTAGAACAATTGTCTGATTTGGTCCAAAAAACCCCTATGTTCCCAAGGTCCCAACAGGAAACCTGGCAGGGGAGGAGTCGTGCCTGGCCAGATGAGCAGAGCCAAGCAGCAGAAACCTTGGTCTTTTTAACCAAAATAGCCCCCAAACACTCATTTGTTGACTCTCTCCAGGCACCCCAGATATAAATAGCAATACCAGCAGTGCCCACTAGGTGGGGCCAGTGGTACAGCATAAGGGGCAGAAATGCCATTCCAGGAGGGAAGGTGGAGCAGGGAGGGGGAGGAATGGGCTGGAATGTTCGTTAGGATCCCAAGCTGGATAAGTGCTCCCCACCCCCTAGTTCCTGTATGGCTTCTAGTCAACAGTGTAAAAGTGAATCCTGGAGTCCCCAAGCACGCTGGGAGCCTGCCTCTGTGTCTAGTAGGTTAAGTTACTTTGTAGCATGTCTAGATTTCAAAGTCCTTAAACAAGTTACTCTCTCATGAGCCACAAAGTGAAGCCACTGCCCCAAAGGACTGGAGCTCCAGGCGAGGGTATGTTCCCGTTATGCTTGCAGCCTGCTCCACGGGAGAAAGCTCCGGACAGTACCTGTCACCAGGGAATCTAAATTGATGGATAAGCAACCCAGCAAGGGGCCGTATGATGAGGAACGCCTGGCCCGAAGGAAACAGGACAGGAGGCAAGCAGGGAGACAGAGCAAGGAGAAAGAAACGGCAAAGACCTTTTTCTCTCCAGCAAGCCACTGCATCTGGCCACATGCTCTCAACTCTCAGTCAGCTTTCCTGGCCCTGCATCGGATTCTGCAGCAAATCTTTCCATACCTACTCATAGCAGGGTGATGGCTGAGTCCCCAAGGGGGCCTTTGAGCCCTGCTGAGGTCTGAGACCTAAAGTCAGAGATGGAAGCAGGGGTTTTCTCCTTCTCGCTTTCCCCGGGTTGGCTTCAGTTCAGGTTCCAGAACAAACCCCCCCGCCCCCAGCATGTCCAAAATGGCTGTCTCTGACCCACCACCCTTCTTAGGATGACAAGGGTAACCCCCAAATGCTGGCTGTGGGGGGCCTGAACCTAACCAACACCCTCGCCCTTTCCCTCTACCTCCCACCTGCCCCCCCACCATCCCTTTCCAAACTTGTACTGCCTGGCAGCCGCTCTGCCTCGACCTCTGTTGCCATGGCAACACTGTGGCTTCCCCCAAGTGGGAAGCCGGTTGCCAAGGCCCTTGTTGCCAAAGACTGTAACAGCCATCATCCACCACCCCAGTGTGTGAAGAGGGGGTGAGAGCTCTGCAAGGGGTGGAGGGTGGCCAAGGAAGCTGTGGAGGGAAGGAAGCAGGGGGCTCTTAAGAAATGGTGGGGTCCAGGCAGGCTCCAAGCTGGGATGGGGAGATGCTAGGTTCCTGTAGGAGAGGAAAAGCATCTCGCAGCATTTCAGCGACAGCTCCTCTGGGGGTCTTGGAGAGAAGAAAGAGGAACCCACAAAACATACCTGGGCAAGCCCTATATCAAGCAGGACTGGGTGCTCCAAGCTCCCTGCCCCAGTACACACACCCCCAAGGAGGAACAGCTTTGGTTCTTCTCCCCAAGTCCAGAAGAACAGTCCTCAGGACTCTCCCAGTCTTGCTTGCTCCCAAGTCTCAGACATGCACGCACACCCGAGCTGGGCCCAGACAGAACCAGGCCCCACATCCAGGAACAAGCATTAGCTACAAGGATTGTAAACCCTCCACACATTCCTATCCCTTGGTCTGTCTCAGAGCATATACTTAATAGTCCTTGCCAAATGCTTCTCTGTGGAGCAGGGCTGCCGTCTCCGCTGGCAACGAGAGAGGTGGGGACCATCAGGGTTAAGTCCCCTCCAGAGTCAGCAGAGCAAGGCTGAGCGGGGCTCTCAATCCTCAGGGATGCTACAGAGCTGCCATTCCACCCACAGGCAGCACAAGGCCAGCCTAGGCTTCTCGGGGGGCCGGCACTAGACAGTAACAGTCCACAGATCCCAGTGCAGCCACTGCCCAGCCCGGGCGCCAGAGGGAAGAGCCTGGTCCTTCCTGAGCCCCACATCTTGCTGAGAAGGGGTACTGAAAGGAGAAACTGAGAGAGGAGGTGAGGGTGTCCAGGAGGCATGGGGAGCAGACTGGTGGAGAGGAGGGAGAGACGGTGCAGAGGCGGCAGAGTGAGCAGCAGGAGGTGGGAGAGGGGAGCCTGAGCCCCTAAGTCTGAGAGGGGCCCAGGACTGGGATGAGATGCACCAAGAGCAGCCAGGTCCAAATTTCCCCAGGTATGCTCCGCCCCCCACAGCTCCCCAAACAGACGCCCAACACCTAGGTCACCCCACCCACCCTCCACCAAGGTCCCCTCACCCCAAGCCCAGAAGGCAAAACAGGTGTACCTACCCCAGGTGCCAGCCCCTCAGGTGGGATGGGGGAGATGCTGCCTCCGTCGCTCTGGCTGCGGGCACTGAGCTGGGGCGACATGGTGGGTGACTCGTCAATGTACGGCATGGTCTCTGAGCCCTCTGGGGGCCCCTTCTGCTCCTCATTCCCCTCTCCTTCGTAGTCGTCTGCCCCGTAGCTGAAGTCTGAGACAAGGAACAAGAAAGGCCACTGAGAGTCCTCCACGAGGGCTGCCAGGGACTGGTAGCGCAGTGGGCGGCGGCGGCGGCCCCCGGCTGCCATGGCCCTGGCCGCACCATCCACGGCCGGCCCAGGCAGGGGCTACGCGGGGGCTTGGGCCTCGGGCAGGGCTGGGGAGCACCAGCAGGCGCTGGGCTCTGCACGCTCAGAGGCTGCTGGGAGTTGGGGAGGAGCACGCTGCTGTTGCCACCCGCTTAATAGCATGTCAGCCACGTCTTCCAAGCTGCTGTTTCCTTTGCCTCCTGCCTAATTCCAAGCCTAAAAATTAACCGTGGGAGCAGGAGGCAGGACGCTTCCAACTCTCCTCTCTGAGTCACCATTTTGCTTTTTATAGGGAATAAGGAGGTGGGGGCGGGCCAAGCAATGTCACTTCCTGAGCCCCTCCTCCTTGGGTACCATTTGTACACAGAGCCCAATCCCTGCAGGGGGGCTAGAGCAGGTTTTGGGGGTGGGGGTTGAGAGACTGCACCCAAGGGAGCCCTGCGCCCTCCCAACAAGGCCCTGTGCAGGACGGAGCGTGAGGCTGGCAGAGCGTGGGCAGGGAGGCCAGCCGAGCCTTGGCAGGGACGCAGTGGAACAGCAGACTCCTCAGAAGCCAGCACTTATTTCTATAATTTCAATGTAGGCCCCCTTCAGAGAAGGAGGGAAGAGAAGGCAACAGGGACCCCCCACCTCAGTGCTTCCAGCAAGATTCAGCCTCCAGAGCCCACGCACAGATACCCCCTCCCAGGGAGCAGCAGGTTGGGCCCTGGGGGTGGGGTGCAGAGGGAGCACCTCATCCCTGAAAGACCCTGCATCAAGCCCCTGGGCAGGGGTCTCTCCTGCAGCAGCATGAGGGACCTTCCCACTCCCCGCCCACCCTACGGTCTGACCTGCCAGGACCAGGGATGGAAGGCATGGCAGTGCCATTTCCAGGGCCTGGTGTTGGGTGTCCTAGGGTTGGGACCACTGTCTGGGGGGGTGGAGACGCCTCTCATGCCCACTCATCCCTGAGCAGGGGCTCAGCCTCAACTCAGTACCACACGTGGACCCCAGCAGGAGCCAGGTACCACACCGGGTACTGGAGACACACCAGTCACAAGGCCAGCCCGCTGGGCCCCACAACAGCCTAGTGAGGGCAGCGGCGGTCTTGTAGCCCCTGTAGTGCCCAGCAGCCACACCTACTTGTTAAATATCCCCTGAGCATCTCCTGGGCATCAGGTCCTGGGCTGGGCCTCCTGGGAACTTGCCCAGTGTGATGGGAGGCTGGCTGGGTCCAGCCCAAACACACACTCATCTGCCTGTTTCATCGTCTGCTCAGATACCACTTCCTCCAGGTTGTTCTCCCTGAGGTTGAATGAAGTCAGGCACCCCGGCTCAGAACCCCTACTGCCCACTGCATATGGCCTCCTGGTGCCCTTGTTGACCTGTTCTTTCATCCCTGAGCCCCTAGAGCAGGAATGGGATGTCTCAGTCATCACCATGTGCCCAGCACCCACAGGCCTGGCGTGCTCTCTGGAAACGTGTGTGGAATGAATGAGCGAGCAGAGGAATGCACGTCAGGCTCAGGTCTGAGATGAGCCAGGCCCGAGAGCCAACTTCTCTGCAAGGGCCTGGCTCCTGCTCCAATATACACACCAGCCCCCGGGCAGCCAGCAGCCTGAGAATGGTGTCAGCGGGTCACCAGGGCACCCAGCCACGGCCATGCTCAGGCCAATCTGGCCCTTTGGCAGCAGAGAGCCTCCACCAGCCTCACTGCACCTGCTCCTGCTGACTTCCTCTCCCAGGCCCTGCGTGAACGCCCCATTAAGCCATCAGGGAATGTGGGCTATTTTTTTCCTCAAAACAGGCATGCAGAGAAGAACCACGGGACCTAAGCACCCCCTAGCCACTGGGATGTGTACATGCCATGCACCCTGGAAATAGGGCCCCTGTCCTGGAGGCCACCTGGCCTGTGACTGGGGCTGACAGGGGCTGGACCATTTCTGGTATTCCAGGTTGCAGGAGGAAGAGAAGCTGTAGCATCTGGCCCACTGAGTCTGGCACCATGAGGGGCCTAGCTGCTTGGTGACCCTACTCCCTTGGGAAGGAGCCTGGGTGGTACAAGCGGTTTACGCTCGGATAGTAACCCAAAGGTTGACAGTTCGAACGCACTCAGTGGTGCTGCAGAAGAAAGGCCTGATAATCTGCTTCCATGAAGATTACAGCCAAAAAACCCTATGGAGCTCTGTTATACTCTGTAGCTCATGGCGTGGTATGAGTCAGAATCGACTCAAAAGCAACAGGCTTGTTTTTTTGGCGTCACTCCCTTGGGAGAAGCACAAGGAGGGAAGGGAGACATCACATTAACCTGCCTTCTCCCCTCCAGGTGATTCCAGGCTGCCCTATCAACCCCTGGGGTCAAGACCCAGGAACAAGCTACAGTGGACCCTGGCCTGGCTAACAGCTCAGATTCCAGCAGGCCATGCTAAGTCTCTCACACGCTGCCCAAGCCCCAGGAGTCACAGACCCAGAACCCTCCCTCTTGAGACATTTTCCAAGGGCAGGGGTAGAAGGGACGACAGGAAGGGTGGTATAGTTCACCTCCCTGCAGAGCCTGGCAGGGCCAGGGACACGGCAGGGCAGTCGGTCTCTGCCATGCTTCCCCCACATGCGCACGCTTCATCGTTACCCAAGAACAGACCATGGACCTGCACCTCCTGCTCCTCTTGACCTAACTACATCCCTGTGAGGCAGTTCTTATATCCCCATTTTACAGACCAGGTCACTGAGTCTCAGTAAGATTTGCCTAAGGTCATAGAAAAGCTCTGAACCCAGGTCTGTCTGTCTCCAAATGCCATCCTTTTCCCTCTGAATCTCCCTAGGCCTCCAGAGAAATCTCCTACAGCCCTCCTTGTCGGGGAGGCTGACCAAGGAGGGGAGGGAGGGGCGGCTGAGGATGAGGGGCTGGACACAGTACAAGAGGAGTTCCTCCATCTCAGTGGGAAAGTGCCCACAGAGCTGTCTGCAAATGTTCGTAGATACTGCGGTGGAGTATCTTCACTCATGTCCCCTGTAAAACCTTGAAAGCCAAGGAAGCCAGTCAGAGGCCCAGGAGATGCCTACAAGGAAAAAGGATTCAAGATAAGATGAAAAACCAACTTCCAGAGAAATAAGGAACCCTGAGGACTCAGGAGAATGGAAAACCCACCTACAACAGCCTTCAGTCCACAAAAGGCCACAGATAGGAAGCCTGGGTGGACTGTGGCTTGGCCACTGGGTCTCGAAAGAGAGAATGCACAGCAGGCTGTTGGCAGCCAGTGTCCATCTGCCCTCCTAGTAACAAATCCCATTCTATTTGGGGTGGCAGTACTCCCAGTGTCCATCTCAAAGACCACTTTTCCCAGTGGTGTGGGCCATGTAATTAAGTTCTGGCCAATGAGATGTTAAGTGGTTATGCGTGGAACTTCATGGAAGGCTGCTAAAAGAGATTGATTTAGCTGGAAGGTACACCTTTATCCCTCCCTCTACATATTTCCTCCTCCTGTTGCCAATTTGGAAAGCAAATGAGATGGCTGGAGCTTCAGCAACAATATTGAACCATGAGGTGACCTTGAGGATGGAAGCCAGGGTTGAAGATGGCTGAGCAGAAAGCTAGGGCCCTAAGTCCCTGCTGGAACCATGAAGCTACCATACCATCCCCAGGACTGTCTACCTCTGGACTTCTTTCCATGAGAGGGAAAAATTCCTATATTATTTAAGCTACTGTTGTTTAGTTTTTATGTTATATGCAGTCAAATCTAATTATAGCTGATCTAGATGGTTTCCCTAATGTCTCTGTCTGGGTACTTTTTCTACTGCCTTCACCGTCCCTTCTCAGTCTGCTTGGTGGGATCCTTTCTCTGCTCACCCCTTAACAATCAATGTTTCTTACACATTCATGCAATGGGATACTGCTCAGAAATAAAAAGGAACAAACTACTGAAAAAGGCAACATTATGAACGAGCCTGACAAACAGTATAAAGAAGCCAGACACAAAAGAGAACATCCCATATGATTCCATTTATATGAAGTTCTAGAACAGACGAATCTAATTTATGGCTGAAAAAAAAATAGTGGTTGCCTCTGAGGATGGGCTGGGGACAGGGATAGACTAGAAGGGGCATGAGGGAACATTCTGGGATAGTGGAAATGTTCTGTATCCTGATGGAAATGTGGGTTACACAGGTGTGTGTATTGATCAAAATGGTACCTTTAAGATTTGTGCATTTCACTAAATATTGAGCTCAAGTTAATGACATACAGAGTCCCTGGGTGGCGCAAACAGTTAAGCGCTGGGCTACTACCTAAAAGGCTGGCAGTTTGAGCGCACCCAGAGGCACCTCAGAAGACAGGCCTGGTGATCTGCTTCTGAAAGGTTACAGCCTTGAAAACCCGCGGGGACATTCTACCCTGCACACGTGGGGTCGCCATGAGTCAGAATCGACTCAGCAGTAACTAACAACAGTTTATGATATACATGCTGCCGTGTTGAGGTGAAGTGTACAGATGTCTGCAACTTACTCTGAAACACATAATAAATAAGACAGATTGACGATGGACAGAGATGGGTAGATGAGCAATAAGACAAGTGTTGTAAAATGATAATTGTATACTTTAGATGGTGGGTAAATGGGTGTTCACTGTACAATCCCTTCACCTTTTTGAATGTTTGAAAAATTCATAATAAAAAGATGAGAAAATATTGGCATTCCCCAGGCTTCTGACACCCCTGCTCTACTCCCTCCCCCAAATCTTATTTACACTCCAGGGAGACATCTGGGCTGCAGACCCGTCTCTCTGATTGGTCCCTGGACATCTCCACCAGGGTGGGGGCCCTCAGGAACCACAAACTCAACCTTTTCTTGAAATTTATATACCAGATCATGCAAGTCAGAAACCTAAGGGTCATTCCAGATTCCTCCCTCTCCCTGCCTCTTACCCTTT